GATTCTGAAGTTCTATGTCTGCATGATGAGTTTAACAGCATATTCAGTTCTATACAATAGTTAGAAATCTGTCCAAATGACAAGAGACAAGCATATGTTTTAAAGATGGGCTAGTGGCTATCATCAAAGATAATACTGTAGGCTCTCAAAGAACAAAGATCTGAGGAATGATTAAAGTCACGAGTATCCTAAGGAAAAGCAACGGAGAGATAAAAATAAATTAATTTACTAAACTAGCTCAGGAATTTTAATAGACATTATTATATTAGCATGTTTCAGGCAAGCAAATAAATATGGGTCATGTCTACAAATGTATGTAGGAATGAATTTCCAAAAGTATCACTGAAACATGTCTATGAATATGTTTCATAAATATGAACAGAATAGCTTTGAAATATTAAATGTATTCATGTCTGCAAATATACATAGAAATAAGAAGTATTAATGAAACATACAATATGTAACATGATCCAATGAATGTGAATTAATTTAGATGTCACTAATAAAATCATGCCACCAATGATATAAGTGAATTGATTTTGTAACAATGTGGAAATACATACGAATGTTCAGGCCCTTAATGCATAACATTTAGGGAAGCAATCCTACTGTAACTTATTCATTTTACTTAGTTTTATTTAATATTCGCTGTCTTATTTTATAACATATAATATGCAATATTAATAAAACATATTTCTTTTCAGACCTGCTGGATTGATCATTAATTTAGGCCAGACTCCATGTCATGTTGATACGAATGTTTTCGATGAGAAAAAATATGTAGTAATATTTGGGACCTCCAAAATAGGACTGTAAAATACTTCAATTAATAAGAATATTATATTATAGAAGCTATACAAATAATAAATATTGCTCATCTTCTGGTTGAGTACAAAAAATACAATATATTTCACAGTATGAAGGGAGCTATTGCTAGGTATAACCTAGATTCATAGCCATTTCTATTAACAAGAATATTTCATTAAAAACTATAATAAGTTGTAACTGGCTGTAACTTATGCCAATTATAAAGAATTATAAATCTCTAAAATAGAATTACAAATAAATTTATGAACATTAAATATTATTTTTAGTTGCTTTATCTCTTAAAATTCTCTATATCCTCTAAGCCAGACTGCCAAATAGGAGCCAGATACACTAGAGGAAAAATTAAGGACTAAACTTTGTTTTGCTCACATGTAGTTAAACTCATGTTAGAAATTCTATGCAATTTTTTAGGTGAGTCAAATATAAATTCATGAGTCAGTAATCTACTCTGAGAATAACATTTTGGCTTTCTAAAATTTGTCAGGCTACTCATTAACATACCTCATTAAAAGTATATAAAAGCTTTTGGAGAAAACATTTACTGAACACTGGCAAGAATCGTGCTAAGAAGTAAGACTACAAGACGAACAAGAACCACCATTACTCTTAAGTAGTTTATAATCTAGTGGTGAGATAAGCAAGTAAACAGATAGGGTTTCAGTCCTTCGGGTAAGTGCTGGGTTAGAGGTAAATGCCAAAGGGTTATGGCAGCACACTGCAGAGGGCCCTGACCTAGTGGGGCTGATTGGGTGAAAGGAGGTGAGGGCTGCTCAGAGGGATGGAAACCAAAACTGAGTCTTCAAGAATTACAGGTTATCCTTGTGGGAAAGAGAACCATATGGGAAGAGGTCTTGCAAATGCATAGAGACCTCAGAGAACCTGGGAGATTTTGAAACTGACAGAAACCAGAAAATAGACTGAAGAAATAAATAAGCATTAAGCTATGTATGCTTGATGACACACTTGAGCCTTTTTCTTGAAGGCAAAAAGGGCTTCTGAAGGATAAAAAGGAGGACAGTGATGTGATCAGGGTTATATTTTAGGAAGACAACTCTAGAAGCAACTTAAAGTAGAACAAGACAGTCAAGAGACAAAATAAAGATCCCAACTAAACTAAGGGAGCTGGAGCAAAAAGAGTAGCTTTGAATGACATTAAACATTAAGAGTGGGCAAAGCTTTGAGATGGGGGATGAAGGAAAGGAGGATGACTACCTCTTTTCTGGCATAACCTATTCAGTAGCTAATGATACTGTTCACTGAGATGAGTAACATTGGCCTAGAGGACAAAGGGAGAAAAGCTGAAAGAGGGGAGGAGAGCTGGTGAGTTTATTTTTCATTTGCCGAGTGTGTGGACCTGTGAACCTCCAGGAAGGTATGTCTGATCAGTAGCTGGATATGCTAGAATGAATGAATACTCATTAAAGAGCATCTGAATATCTCAGGTATTTGTGATAGTAGTTAACATTTATTGAATGTTTACTCTAAATGAGGCATATGCAAGCACTTCATAAAACATCTTTTTATCCTTCGACTCCATAGAGGAGGAAGAGTTTAAGTAATTTCCCAATGGTTACAAAGTACTTAAGTGACAGGGAAGTCTGATTTTATAGCTCATGCCCTTAACTACCATATTATGTTGTATCATGCAAAATTAATTACAAGTTGTGGGGCCAGCGAGAAGTAGGTTTAATTCTAATCTCTGCTATTCACATGTTTGACCTTGACACTCTCTACATCATAGTTTCATTTATAAAATGGTGGCCTTAAAAACTGCATTGCAGGGATACTTGGTAAGAATTGGAGAGAGTGTATGGAAAATGCTAGATGCAGTGTACATGTGCCATAAATTACTCCTACTGCTATGTCTACACCCAAAGAAAGAATTCCCCTTGAAATAAAATAGCAGTGATATGAGTAAATTCTCTTTTATCTATGAACTTTAATTCCACCCTTACTTGTTCTGTACCTTAATAAATGCTATCATTTTTCAAAACATTTTGAGAAATTAATATATTCCACAAAATTTAGAGTAATTTAAGGATTTTATTCAAAGATAAATCATTTACATATAAAGGGGCTGATTCTTTTTTTTTCACATTTCTATAGATGCCACAATATGCATAACCCAAAAGCAATGAGGCATGTTGATGTTCCGGAGAGAGCTTTGGACTTGGAGTCAGAAGATCTGTGTGAAGTCCCAACTCTGCCACTTACCAGCCATGCCAACATGGGCAAGTCATGTAACAGTTCTAAGCATTTCTTTGCATGTTTATGAGATGAATATGTTGGTCTACATGTTTTAAATTTAAATTCAGCAAATGGGTTTAAGCTGAGAGAGTAGGAAGGTCACCCTAGATTTCTCGTTCTGACACCTGACTGCTCATTAGCATCACTGGAAACTTCTAAAAACATACTTTAAAAAGAAATAGTGAGCTCCATGACCTTAAAATATCACTAGAAGGACACCATATCTGATTTACAAGCTCTGTGCTTCATTTTGAGAATGGTGATGTGAAGCATCTTGATAACACCTCACTTTGGTGTTAAACATAAAAATATATTCTCAACTGCACTGAAAACAAAATTCTTTCTTGAGTATACATAGACCCTAGAGTAATTAATGGAATTGACCATCCTGGTTTGCCCAAACTTTGCCTGCTTTAGCACTGAAAGTTCTATGTCCCTAGAAACCCCTCAGTCTCTGGAAACAGAGATAGACTCTAACATACACACACACATACATACATACATACATACACACATGTGCATATACATGCACACTTGTATGTGACCCTCAGTGTATTAGAACAAAATTCAGATCAACAGCACTCTAATGGAGTATCACCACTAAGATGTTGTCAGCATTCACTACTAACTTCAAGCCCACCACAGTCACACAGACAGACCTGATTCCAGCAGTCATGATGACTAACATTTATTTTGCTAGAGTTCATGCTGTGAATATTTACAGTCAATAGCCAGTATTTTTAAAAATTTTAAAGCCCTTGCCTTCCCATGGCCATTTCTGTTTACCTTACTAAAGAAGTCACACAATTCTAGACTACCATTTGACAGATTTCATAGTTTTTTCACTTTGTAATTTTTTGTTACATTTTTCCTGTGATGATGCCATATGAAATAAATAGTATGATATAAAATGAAATTAGACTATGGTCATGTCTATCCAAATTAAAGGCAGGGCTATGATTTCTTTTAAATAAAATATCCACTAGAAAGCAAATCAAATTAACTTCAAATGGCACCAGAACATACACCCCTCTCAAAATTAAACTCATCACATATACCTTTTCTAGAACCACATTATTATATATAAGTATCTTTTCCTCAGTTGCCTGATGGAGAAACATTTGACTCTAAGATCAAGTCATAATCACACAAGCTAATAAAGAATAGCAGCAAAAAAAAAAAAAAAAAAAAGAATAGCATCGGTCTGAAGAACACACTCTCAATAAGTCAATAAGTACACACCTTGTTATTTGTGACATCACTAGTTGTCTGTACACAAAACAGCTCAAAGGACTTCAGTTGTGTGAAAGTGTCAGGGTGTAAGGGAAGCCCCCCATTGCCTCTAGTTCCACACACTAAAGAACTACTGTCACAGAGACACCACTAACAAGCTAGGAGAAAAGGCTGCATAGAGCCTTTCCCTTTGGGAAATCAGAACCTTAAGAGGATTGCCACCAATCTGGTGTATTCTTGGTCCTGCAATGAATCTAGTAAAATAATAAAAGCCCTTGAGAACTCTGGTTTCTTTCCTCCTTAAAATGAGCAACAATGATGCTAATAACATACTGTCTCCTTTTACACTTCTGACATTCCACAATATCCAGCTTATCTGAAGTAAAATGAAGGAAGTGTATAAAGGAAGTTTAGACTATCTAAAACATGCATCATGATTTCAATGCCCTAGACTTTCCACCACTGGCTTTCCAAGTAGGAAATCAAGGAAGACATCAAATTGTGACATCATCATTATGCAGAAACAGTGTAAATCTCCAAAGGTCTGTTTCATGGTCTTTGAAAGAAAATTCGAAAATCATCTAAAAATATATTTAATGGAAAACTTACTTCTTACAACATATCCCTTTTAAGTATGATTTTTCAGTAGTGTTATCACAACTTTTTTCAGCAAACTGAGAATGAAGACTTACTGATTGCTCATTTAAATCCTGGGGGTCTTCCATGTGGTTTTCTCACCTCTCCTGCGACTCCCAAGTAGAAGCAGCTTCCTTCAAGTAAAAACGATTATCTAAAACAAAAAGATGGAAACAAAGGGGAAAAAAGTTATCTTTATATTCACTTGTAAAATTATAAAAACATGTTAAGACATAGCATGGTAATTAGTAATTTGTAAGAGCATTCTTCAAGAAGAAAATCAACTAATATTGTCTCCATATCTGATGCAATTAATAATCTTGAAAATAAGGTCATGGTAAAAGTGGGATACATGAATTGCTACTCAGGAATCCTGTAAATAAACCAAAATATCCATAGTCTGCAATAAACACAGTCTGCAATAAACAGTTAATACTGTTTTGCTGAGGGAGGTATGTCATCAAGACATAGATTAAGAATCAAGAGTCTGAATTAACCGTTTACTTTCAAAAGTACATAAAATCATCTGAAAAAATGAGTGTGCATTTTAATATGACAATGTTCTCTTAGAGGAAAATTTGTCCAAATTATCAGGTATTCTTCTGAATAAAAATCATTCTTCACTTTTAAAAAGTATATTATAAAGAAAATGACCAACCTTAAAAAGATAATATGTTAAAGAAGGTATTACAAATAAACATGGGAAAGATAATTAATTAGTCAGTAAACGATGATGAGACAACTGGTTAACTATTCAAAAAATATCTTTACTCCACACCATACATGAAAATATTTTCAAGTGAATTAAAGTTAAAAAAAAAAAGCTGTAAGAAAAAAAGTTAAACAAAGCTCTAAAATATATGTCTAACTTTCTTAGAGCTTTTTTAACTTTAATAAGGATTAAAGTTAAGCATTTTTTAAACTTAAATAAGGATTTTATAATAGTAGCAATAGAAGACACACCAAAAACCCACTAGTGACCCTGAATCCTCTCTCTTGATCTCTCTTTTTAAATACATGCACACACACAATAATGGAAACTGAAAGGCACAGAAAAATCCAGAAATACCTGTGCAAATATCAAAAACAATGGGCTGATGTTCTTAACATATTGCAATTCAAATAGAAAGGCACATACTCTATAGAAATATGTTCAATCATCATAGAACAGTGTTCAAATTAACAAGAAAATGAAACACAAATTAAAATTGCAATGATACATTTCTGGTGTTCAAATTCTAATTCCAAAACAGAAAAAGAGTATTAAAAATATTTAGATTTATAAAGTTGTTTATCATAGATGAACATAATCATTGAAGGCATAGATATAATCATTGAAGTCACATTTCAAGAAATATCTAGTGACATCAAAAATTTCTAAAAATATAATTTAAATAAAAAAGAATATTACAATCTAAAGAAAGAATCACATGCTGTCATGGTTAATACTGAGTGTCAACTTGATTGGATTGAAGGATACAAACTATTGATCCCAAGTGTGCCTGTGAGGGTTTTGCCAAAAGAGATTAACATTTGAGTCAGTGCGCTTGGGAAGGCAGATCCACCCTTCATGTGGTGGGCCCAATATAATCAGCTGCCAGTGAATATAAAGCAAACAGAAAAATGTGAAAAAGATACTGGCCCAGCCTCCCAACCTACATCTTTCTCCCATGCTGAATGCTTTCTGCCCTCAAACATTGAACTCCAAGTACTTCCATTTTGGGACTCAGACAGGCTCTCCTTGCTCCTCAGCTTGCAGACAGCCTATTGTGGGACCTTATCATTATGTAAGTTAATACTTAATAAACTCCCACATATATATATATATAATTAGTTCTGTCCCTCTAGAGAACTCTGACTAATACAGATTTTGGTACCGAGAGTGGGGTGTCTGATGAGTGTCAGCATTGGGTGCCTTAACCTGGCGTTCTGTTCATCTCACAGTACCAGTTCTGCTTACAAAAAGTGGCCCACTAGTCACTCACATTCCACGCCCGGCTCTATGCCAGTGAGCCAGGCTTCTAACCCATTTAATGTTTGAGCATAGGTTGAGATCATTTTGGCCCCAAGACCTCTAATAATTCATTTTACAGGATAAAACTGCATGGGGTCCAGAACAGAAGGGTCTGCAACAGGTCCAGGCTGCTGTGCAAGCTGCCCTGCCACTTGGGCCATATGACCCTGCAGATCCAATGGTGCTTGAGGTGTCAGTGGCAGATAAGGATGCTGTTTAGAGCCTTGGCCAGGCCCCCATAGGTGAATCACAGCAGAGGCTTCTAGGATTTTGGAATAAGGCCCTGCCACCTTCTGCAGATAACTACCCTCCTTTTGAGAGACAGCTCTTGGCCCATGACTAGGCTTTGGTGGAAACTGAAGATTTGACTATGCGTCATTAAGTCACCACGCAACCTGAGCTGATTATCAAGAACTGGAAGCTTTCTGACCCATGTAGCCACAAACTGGGTCATGCATAGAAGCATTCTATCATCAAATGAAAGTAGTATATACATGACTGGGTTCAAGCAGGCACAAGTAAGTTACATGAGGAAGTGGCTCAAACGTTCATGGACTCCACTCCTGCCACCCCGCCTTCTCTCCCCCAGCCTGCACCAATGTCCTCATGGAGAGTTCTGATAGTTCCCTATAATCAGTCGACAGAGGAAGAGTAGACTAGGGCCTGGTTCACAAATGGTTCTGCAGGATATGCAGGCACCACCCGAAAGTGGACAGCTGTAGCACTACAGCCCCTTTCTAGGACATCCCTGAAAGACAGTGGAGAAAGGAAATTTTCCCAGTTCACAGAACTTCAAGCAATGCACCTGGTCATGTACTTTACATGGAAGGAGAAATGGCCAGATGTATGATCATATACTGATTCATGGGCTGTAGCCAATGGTTTTTGGCAGGATTGTTAGGGACTTGGAAGAAGCAGGATTGGAAAACTGGTGACAAATAAATCTGGGGAAGAGGTATGTGGATGGACCTCTCTGAGTAATGAAAAATCATGAAGATATTTGTACTCCATGTGAGTATTCACCAGTGGGTTACTTTAGCAGAGGAGGATTTTAATAACTTCATTATTAAAAAAATAATAAAGATAGGGTAGAATGACCCATTCTATGGACACCACTCAGCCTCTTTCCCCAGCCACCCATCATCGACCAATGGGCCCATAAACAAAATGGCCATGGTGGTAGGGATGGCAGTTACACATGGGCTCAGCAACATGGGCTTCCGTCACCAAGGCTGACCTGGCTACGGCCACTGCTAAGTGCCCAATTTGCCAGTAGCAGAGAGCAACGCTGAGCCCTCAATATGGCACCATTCCTCAGGGGGATCAGCCAACCTGGTGGCAGGTTGATTATATTGGACCTCTTCCATCATGGAAAGGGTAAAGGTTTATCCTCACTGGAATAGACACTTACTCTGGATATGGTTCTGCCTATTCTGCATGCAATGCTTCTGCCAAGAATACCATCTATGGACTCACGAAATGCCTTTTCCACTGTCATGGTATTCCACACAGCATTGCCTCTAACCAACAATTCACTTTATGGCTAAAGAAGTGCAGCAATGAGCTCATGCTCATGGAATTCACCAGCCTTACCATGTTCTCCATCATCCTGCAGTAGATAAATTGACAGAACGGTGGAATGGCCTTTTGAAGTCACAATTACAACGCCAACTTGGTGACAATACTTTGCAAGTCTGGGGCGAAGTTCTCCAGAAGGCCATGTGTGTTCTGAATCAGCATCCAATATATGGTACTGTCTCTCCCACAGCCAGGATTCATGGGTCCAGGAATCAAGGGGTGGAAGTGGAAGGGGCACCACTCACCATCACTGCTAATGAGCCACTAGCAAAATTTTTGCTTCCTGTTCCCACAAAATTACGTTCTGCTGGCCTAGAGGTCCTAGTTCCAGCAGGAGGAACACTGCCACCAGGAGGCATAACAATGATTCCAATGAACTGGAAGGTAAGATGGCCACCTGGACACTTTGGGCTCCCCCTACCTTTAAGTCAACAGGCTAAGAAGGGAGTCACAGTGTTGGCTGGAGTGACTGACCCATACTATATAGTTGAAATCAGTCTATTACTCCACAATGGAGGTAAAGAAGAGTATGCATGGAATACAGGAGATCCATTAAGGTGTCTCTTAGTATTACCATGTCCTGTGATTAAGGTCAATGGGAAACTACAATAGCCCCATCCAGGCAGGACTACAAATGGCCCAGACCCCCCAGGAATGAAGGTTTGGGTCACTCCACCAAGAAAAAACTGCGACCAGCTGAAGTACTTGCTGAAGGCAAAGGGAATACAGAAAGGGTAGTAGAAGAAGGTAGTCATTAATACCAGCTACGACCACATGACCAGCTGCAGCCCCAAGGACTGTAACTGTCATGAGTAGTTCCTCCTTATTTTGTTAAAAATGTGTGTATGTATACACTTGTACTAAAAAAATATCTTTATTGGCCGGGCGCGGTGGCTCAAGCCTGTAATCCCAGCACTTTGGGAGGCCGAGGTGGGTGGATCATGAGGTCAAGAGATCGAGACCATCCTAGTCAACATGGTGAAACCCTGTCTCTACTAAAAATACAAATAAAAAATTAGCTGGGCATGGTGGCGCGTGCCTGTAATCCCAGCTACTCAGGAGGCTGAGGCAGGAGAATTGCCTGAACCCAGGAGGCGGAGGTTGCGGTGAGCCGAGATCGCACCATTGCACTCCAGCCTGGGTAACAAGAGCGAAACTCCGTCTTAATAAAAATAAAATAAAATAAAGCAGGAAGAAAAATGTGAAAAGAGAGAATGGCCCAGCCTCCCAGCCTACATGTGTCTCCTCTCCCATGCCGACGCTTCCTGTCCTTAAACACTGAACTCCGAGTTCTTCAGTTTTGGGACTTGTACTGGCTCTCCTTGCTCCTCAGCTTGCAGAGAGACTATATTGGGGACCCTGTGATCATGTAAGTTAATACTTAATATCTCTCTCTCTCTCTCTCTCTCTCTCTCTCTCTCTCTCTCTCTCTCTATATATATATATATATATATATATATATATATGTTATATAATATATATTATATATATATGACATTTATATATACATATATGTTATATAATATATATTATATATATGACATTTATATATATACACATAC